TGAGACAATGCTCAGGTGGTTTGTGGAGTCGTCGTGCAAGTTTACATCGTTGTTGCCAGTATGTGAGAATTCTTGTCGTTCCACTTTATTTCCCACAGATTTTTTTATCCATTTGTAAATTTTAGTCATCTGATACATATAAAGTAGTATCTGAATCTGGTTTTATAATTTGTATTTTTCTGGTTACCAGTGAAGATCATAAGGTTTTTCAGGTTTATCCCAATTAGGAAATGTTTTTTAGAACTTATTTGTGCAAGTCTTTTGGTCATTTTTATCTTGGACTGTCCACCTTGGCCATATGGATATGTAGGAAATATTGCTTGAAAATTTTTTTCTTTAACCTTAGGTTTAAATAAATTTATTTAGGTTTAAATAATTAGATAAGGTTCCTTTTAGTATTCCCTTGAGGTTCACAAATACACTTAAATTTCTCATTTCATACATTTCCTAAGTTTTGGAAAACGCTCAGGCACTATTTATTAAAACATTGCTTCTGTCCCAGTACTAGAATATATTCACTGTATTTTCTGTATTTTCATATTTATCTTCATACTTCCTTTTCCATACTTTTTTACATACTATCTTCTAGCTGCTGATTTTCTCTTTAGCCTTTATTCTCTTTTTTTTTTTTTTTTTTTTTAAACAGAGTCTCACTTTGTTGCTCCGGCTAGAGTGAGTGCCGTGGTGTCAGCCTAGCTCACAGCAACCTCAAACTCCTGGGCTCAAGCGATTCTCCTGCCTCAGCCTCCCGAGTAGCTGGGACTACAGGCATATACCATTATGCCTGGCTAATAGCTGTTATTCTTTTTTAAAATACACATTTAAGACCATAAATTTTTCTTCTAAAGATGGTTTTAACATCATCTTAAATGTTTTAGCATGTATATTATTATTCAATTTTATCCTATCAATGTATTCATTAATTTTATTTATTATATTCATTTTTATAATTTTGACTTTTATTTTCTATCCTGTATATTCCACTTTATACATATTATTTTGTCTATATTTGATAAATTTAGTATTTAGTGTATTTGTAAATTTATTCATACCTATTTTTCTCTTTTTTCATTCATGTTGCTTTTCACATATTTCTGATTATTTTTATTATTTGACTGATATTATATTTGAAAATATTATCTGTAGAAATTATTTGAAGCCTAGAATTATGTTATTTTCTTTCTAAAAAGTTTTTTCTGGTTTCTGTTAGGTGCACAGAGTCACTGGTAATGAGGCACCGGCTGACTCCCTAGCATTGGCCTGTGTGCTTCCAGTTCACCTGTGCTGTATTTTTCATCTGCTACTTTTTCTTTCTGATGTTCCTGATCCAGAGAACATATTTTGAGTGTCAACTTGCTAGAATAAAACAACACCAATGTGCCCATCACTATGGATGCTGTATTCTACTTGTCTATATTAATTTTTTCTTATAACTAAAATAAATTTTAAGAATGTTTTTCAGAAGATAACTTAATCAAATGTATATTTCCTTTAATTTTTCCAAGACCTTTTAATTGAGTGATATAAACCAAAGCCAATTGTGGATTTTTCAGGAGTTTTGTAGTTTAAGCCTTGCATCTGCTCAACTGGCTGAAGAAGGCTAACTCTCACCTAGCCTTTGTCTCCTAAGCAGTGTGCCAAAATACTATTCCGTTTCCCAAAAAAGGGAGAGCAACAGGTCCTATTCTTGAGAGACCACAAGTGTAAATATCTGTTATAATTAAGGCCCTATTTTAAGGAACCCAAGAAAGATCCTGCTGTTACCACAAAATCTCAACACCTGCTTTGTGAGTCTGGATAAGTGTGAATCTGGCGCATCTAGAAATGTCAACAAGAGAAAACAATTAGTTCCAATGATACTTTCAATAAAACCCAATCACCTGGCAGTCGTAAAACTAGATTTTCTGTCTCAAGAGAAAGAGAAAATTAAGACTGTCATTGAGGAAGCAGCAGGGAACACTTTCATTTACTATGAATTTCTTTCTTTTCTCCCACCTATATTCATGAATTGAGGGATTGTGCTAGAGATCCCACTCAGTCTTTCTCTCCACACATTTTTAAGAATAATTTAAGAGAGAGTGAGACGGTCAACAATCATTTTGGAGGATGAGCCAAGTTTCAGATTGCTGGTAATGTGTTAACTCATTTGACAAACTTCTATAGTTCTCTCCCTCACCTCACCCCTTGTTCCTTTCTTTAAAAAAAAATGAACACCATGCCTCCTTTCAGGCTTATGATGATGCAGCTGATGTTTTAGAGACCATTAGTTCAGCAGGGCATGTTGGTATGAAGGCCCTCCTCTGTAAAGTTGGTACCTTGTATCACTACATTAAAGAATAAGTGAAGACATTTGACAATATACAAGGCTGGTTTTATTTACCCATAGCATCATTATATCTTATGGTAGAGATTGGAATATAAGAGAGATTAACCAGTGTGGTCCCAGTATCCCATTGTATGAATACCTACTAATGTATAAGAAAGCACCTCAAAACTTAGTAGCTTGCTTAACAAATGCTTTATTTAATCATGATTTTATGGGTCAACATTTTGTGGTGGGCTCAGCTGGGTGTTTTCTCAGGTAGTCTTACCTGGAGTCACTATGTGACCACAATCAGCTGGTAGCTACACTGAGAATGGTTAATCTGAGATGCTTCACTTTCATATTTGGCAGTTCACGATGGCTGTTTTCTGGATCAAGTACCTCCAGCAATCTAGCTTGTGTTTCATATCAGCATTCCAAAATAATAAGGCTCAATGAACAATTTCTTTTAAAGTTCTTATATTTCTTTTCCTTTGGGAAAGATACACGAAAGTGGGATTGATGGATTGTATCGTAGTTCTAGTTTTAGTTTTTCAGAAATCTCTATAGTGTTTTCCACATAGGTTGTACTAATTTATATTCCCATCAACAGTGCATAAGAATTATCTTTTCTCTGCATCCTTGCCAACATCTGTTATTGTTTGTATTTTTAATAATAGTCATTCTGATTGGTGTAAGATAATGTCTCGTCGTGGTTGTAATTTGCATTACTCTGATGATTAGTGATATTGAACATTTTGTCATATACTTCTTGGCTATTTGTCTTCTTTTGAAAAATGTCTATTCATTTCCTTAGCCTACATTTTAGTAGGGTTAATTTTGTTTTTCTTGTTATTGTTGCTGAGTTGCTTGAATTCCTCATAAATTCTGGATATTACTTCCCTGTGTGATACATACTTTGCAAATATTTTCTCCAGTTCTGTAGAGTGTCTGTTTGTTGATTATTTATTTTGTTGTGCAAAAGCTTTGTAGTTTAATTAAGTCCCATTTGTTTATTTTTGTTTTTGTTGCCTCTGCTTTCAAGGTCTTAGTAATAGATTCTTTCCCTAGACCAATGTCCAGAAGAGTTTTCCCTTGGTGTAGGTTTCCTTCTAGTATTTTTATGGTTTCAGGTGTTACTTTCAAGTCTTTAATGCATGGTACTGGCATAAAACTAGACACACAGATAAATGGGACAGAATAGAGAACACAGAAATAAAGCCACATGCTTATAACCAACTGATATTTGACAAAGACAAGAATATGCACTAGGGAAAGGACAACCTTTTCAATAAATGGTGCTGGGAAAATTGGATTGCCATATGTAGAAGAATGAAACTAGACCTTTATCTCTCATTCTGTACAAAAATCAATGTGTGATTTAGTGTATGTATTTTCTTTTCTCTACATTCTTGCCAACATCTGTTATTTTCTGTCTTTTTAATAATAACCATTCTGATTGGTGTAAGATAATGTCTCATTGTAGTTTTAATTTGCATTAGTCTAAAGATTAGTGATTTAATGTCTGATTAAAAATCAGATCCCATCAGCCATTATCTATATTAGATAAGTAGCATAATAATGAATTGTCAACTCTTTCATATTGATTCATTTAAACTAATAGATTTCACATGATGAAATATTTATCTACTTAGTAATTCTTGCAGGTTTTTTAAATTATTTTCTTATTTTGAATTAAAGTAAAATATGAGTCATAGTTTATAAATGTTATAATAGTTTTCATGAAGACATTTTGTCAGCCCATTTATATGTTATTTATCTTCATTCATAGAGAGACATATAAATTATTTTTATTAAATATAAATTTTAATTATTTCAGGTGATTGGATTTTGAGTATTTTTTACTTTCTTATTCTGCTCTTCTCTATTACTTGAATCATTTATAGTGATCACATAAACATTTATTATATGAAGAATATAGTTACTACCTTCCTTTATCTATACCACACACATATACACTTCCAGACTGGCTTTTTTTTTTTTGGGGGGGGGGGACAGAGTCTCGCTTTGTTGCCCAGGCTAGAGTGAGTGCGGTGGCGTCAGCCTAGCTCACCGCAACCTCAAACTCATGGGATCAAGCAATCCTGCTGCCTCAGCCTCCCGAGTGGCTGGGACTACAGGCATGCGCCACCATGCCCAGCTAATTTTTTCTCTATATATTAGTTGGCCAATTAATTTATTTCTATTTAGAGATGGGGTCTCACTCTTGCTCAGGCTGGTTTCGAACACCTGACCTGGAACAATCTGTTTGCCTCGGCCTCCCAGAATGCTAGGATTACAGGCGTGAGCCACCACGCCCAGCCTGGCTTAATTTTTATAATCCACTCAACTGGAAATGGATAAGAACAGGTAGACTGTTATTTAGATAATAAGACAAATCTGAAGCTTTATAGAAAAAAATGGGCAATATAAGAAGAATTAATCAGCCATACTTCTTAATTTATCATTTAAAATTCTTAGTTTTTTCTAATAGTCTTTTCTAGAAAACTGTCTCAATGGGAGAATCTAAAATACTGTCCAGGATTTATGCATGCATGTACATGCATTATTAGATGAATAATAAAGAAAAAGGTAACAATAATTTAATTGCATGTAAATATTTATAAACATGCCTGCTTTCTTTCTCCACCACCCCCTTATGTGCACATACTTTGTCAGCATTTATTCTAGGAACGCTGCTGTAGTCTCTTGAGTAGTCTTCTGCACCTTCTCAGGTAAGCCTCAGGTAAGACACTGAGTAGACCAAATCATAAAAACAATAAGCCATTTTAAGCAGATTATTCTTTTTTATAACATTAACAGAGATAAAATTTTACATTTTTATGTACATATTAGATTAATGCATACCTTCGCATATAGATTGAAATCTCTATAAAATCAGGAATTTTGTCTGTTTTCCTTCATCATTGCTTCTTCAATATGTACTTCATACATTTGAGCATTCAGCAATTAAATTAATAAATTTGAGCACTTTGTTAAATGGATAAGAGATAAACAAACAACAGTAAATTGTGGTGGCATTAAGAAAACTATAAAATTAGGCAGTCATTTTGAAAAATAGAAGAAGTCTTTTGATATAATTGTAATGAAAAAATAATTGAAATATAAATTTTAAACCTATTTTAAGATGAATAATATAATATGCAAGTTAAACAAAAAAGCTAAAAGAAAATATTCTACTAAGAGTATATTTTTAATATAAGACATGAATATTCTGTAAAAAGTTAGGGGATCTACTCTATTAAAAATTAACTAATGTCACTTTAAGTACTAATCTTAAAAAACTTTAAGAAGTTAAACCAATCTTAATTAAGAAACCAGGAGAAAGAGTAAAATTTTATAATCTATATGTGGGTGTAGGTCCAATATGAAGTTATATGTTATAGGGAGGAGTTATAATAATCTCACATTTTAAGAAACTTCTTTGCCCCCAAATAAAACTTAAATACCCATATTTTAATATTCCAAGAAACAGCGGGAGTCACCCTACACGCAGTCTTTTAATGTTAACCTGGTCAGTGCGGAGCTCACCCAGAAAACCCCAGAACGTGCTGTCAAGAGGCAGGGAGGGCTCACCAAATCGGGCTCTCATCCCGTTCCTTCTGAAATCCAGTGAAATAACTGCAAATACACACACCAAGATAAAGATGTTTGGTCATCGCTCAGGACTCTCTCATTAACATCACTTCTTGCACACACGACAATCATTTTTCTGAAAAATATAAATGATAATATATAAATATGTTGTGCTATTCACTAAAAGTTAGGTGTTTAAACTTTCTGAGGACAAGGACCTGCATTGTCATAATAATAAATCTCACTTTGTATAGCTTCTTGTTTATTTCATATCTTTTCACATTATTGCTTAAAGTGGGATATAAACTTAGAAGCAATAAAAATAAATTTAAAAAAATCTCTTTAAATCAGATTTTTTGATATAATGTTTTCTGGGGACATTACTTGAAGTTAAAGAAGTTATAATGACCTGATTAACCAGAATATCATTCTCTGCAGATGAAGCTATTTATGTAGTTCCCTAGGTGTGGAGACACAAGTTACCTGCTGTAATCAAATCACTATTGATGGGAATAATATGCTGAATCAATGGTGCATCAGTAATTGAAGTGCTATTGCAACTTCTTGTAAATCTTGATATAGAAAATGGAGTCGCACTTTTCATACACACATGTGAAAAAAAGATCATAGTGTTTTAGAACCTATGCTAAATGTAATTTTACCAAAATAGATTTTATACTCATTAGAGCTGGGTGGCACATCCAGTCATTCTGGACACATGTGCTGCTATGCTTACATCAGTATGAAATGTTTTCAGAGTAGAATAAACAAAAAAACACCACTTCAGCATCTCCTGGTAATTATAATTACATTACAAAACCAAGATTTCATTTGTAATCCTAATTAGTTTTAGTGGATAATGGAGTTATGTCACTTGATGAAAATCTATGCTAAAACGTTCTGTGAAATTTAGTGTTATTCTCAGTTTGCAGGCACATAAAATGCTGTCATTATCTAACGGTATGATGTTTCCCATGCTCTAAAGTGCCAGGAAAATTTGTTTTATTATAAGAGAAAAGATAGATCAACTTTTAACAATCATCTTTATCTTAGCGAACCTTTCTTTCAAACACTTAGGTTGGATAGAGGAGCTAAAACCTGAGTTCAAGGTCATCACTGAGTCAAAATCTAGAGCAGCTGAAAATTGAATCAAAGCTAAACACACTGAAAGAAGCAAGCTGAATGTTGTCTTGAGGAACTGATGCAAACAGAGCATGCCACTTGCAGTTTACTTTTCTGAGGCGAGCAGGTGGTATTTGGGGGAAGTATTTGGGGTAACGCTGCTGGTAGATGGAACAAAGAAAGGATCTTTTAGGCTGTTCTTCAGGGGCCTAGAGTTTCCCAGGCTTTTCTGGTAGAAAGTCATGGCCTGGATTGTTTGTTAAAGATGGAGTTATATTATACAAATGTTTTTTCTCTACTTCCTGTTCTCGCTACAGCAATGCTGTTGCTGCTCTGATGTACCTGCAGGTCTTTCTGCTATTCCCTCCAGTTTGCCGTGTACAAGGACAGGAGAAGCTTGATGAAGATCAGACAGATCTGCATAGACTGCGTGGATAAGAATCAGAACGCTGTACGTTTGGTTATCTTCTTTAAGTTTATTAAAGCCCCGATAGGCAAGATGACTAAGCCTAATATGAATTCAGAGCTCAGCAAGAATGATAACTTGGGACTTTATAGTCAGTTTCAATGCAAATAAGCAATGAAAAGTTATAAATTGGGCAAGGGTACAAATGAATGAGTAGATGTAGCTTCTGGAGTGAGCAAAGTTACAGTTCCTTAAGGAGGTGGGTCGATATTAGGTGGTCAAGCAGTTTTCAAAGAATGAGGAATCACTTAAGTCAGAGGAGATCAGAATAATTGGTTTGCTGCCTGATGTATGATTGAACAGATGGAGAGGTAGTGCTTCATGCCACCTATTTCTTACTACCTCCTTTGATTTCCTGCAGGCCTGGCTTTGGCTAGAATTGAGGAGTGGAGTGGCAACATATGGAAAACTAAACTAGAAGATAGCTTCGGTTCAGATTTCTCTCTTATTACCCATTGCCTATTTGTACACACATCATTCCGCTCCTTGACAAAAGGAACATAGCACATAGCTATTCGAGTTTCCTCTAGAGGTCATCCGTTGGTCAGCCATAGCATGGTAGTGGACCATGATGTGGGGAAATAACAACAATAAAAAATATGCTATTAAATTGCATATTTAGGTGGAGACATATAATGAAACAATATAATCATGATGAACACTGGAAGCTATTTGGAGCTGACAAGTTACCTGCAAGACGGGGAGTATAAAATCATTATTCCAGGATCAGTCCGTCCTTTCTAGTCACTAGGCATGTAAATGGTGACTGGATAGGTAGATGCAGAAAAGGCATGATTTAAGGAAATAGCAATTTAGTTACAAGCGACAAAAAAATATTAATCCCAATCTGGCTTAAATAGAAAATATATTTATTGACTTTAGAGAAGACCTAGATCTCACAAAGCGCTCCCTCAATCTCACATCTGAATGTTTTGCCTTTTGATGTTTCAATTAAATCATCAGGCTTCATAGAGTGACTGTTTTCCCACTTACAGTGTCCTAAATGTTCCTTTAACTGAACACTAGGCATGTATTTATAGTGTTCTCACATGTCACATACTAACGTGTATTCTAAGGGAAGATAAAGGGTATCTTTTGAGAAATGAGAAATAAATCCCTGCTTCCACAACCTTTAATTGAACAAAAATGGGTTAAGTGTTCATCCCTGAACCAATAACTATTAATGAAAAGGGAAATTATTAGATAAGTTTAATCCAGGTAGCTGAGGGGGAAAAGTTTAATGCTATCAAATTCTATAGCTGAGAATAGGAGAGTAGCAAAGAAGAAAAAAAGAATGGAAAGAAGGGAAAAGTATCAGCACATGTCAAAAAGGAACAAGAGCTAACCTGAAAGTATCCCCAATGGCCAAATCTAGAATAATTTTAGCAAAATTACAATTAATGGTAGATTGTATTGGATTATAACCCAAAGAATAAAATGAATATCCATGACTCCACACCTATATAAATACATAGCTGAATAATATAATAAATGATAATGGGCAAATTTTCCTTAGAAAAAAATTCCAATAAATAAATGTATAAAGAATAAAGGAAATATAAAATCACCATTAGAACCCTACATCAACATTTCCTGCAGGCAAGATCCAACACTCTTCATTAAAATGGTGGGCAAAAGTTGAATAAAAAAAAACTAGAATGTGTGCATATTCTCAAAGTATCTCCAGACAAATAAATATTTATTAATTACAAAGAGAGTAGTATATAACTGCAGAGTGGGGAAACCTTGCACTCAATATCTTAACGAAGTGATCAAATTTAGCATTACCAAAAATAATACTTAACATCATGTTCACCCTGACATCATACACTGAGAAGATGTCACTTTTGTGGCATTCTACACAATAATGCACAACTTCAATATAGTTATGGGAAAAAAAAAACCTATCAAACTCAAATTAAGAGGCATCCTAAAAATAACTGAACACTATACTTTAGACATTTCAAGGGGATGAAAAGCAAGGAAAGACTAGGGAACAGTTACATTTTTAGGGAGAGTAAGAAGACATGACAACCAAATGCGGTGTGAAATCTTGGGTAGTCCCTGACTTTAGCAAAAATGATCACTGGCACCACATCAGCCATGGGAGACACTCATGTCAGCCTCAACTCACTGGCCGGGGCAGCTCTAGATGGTAGAATCACCCTTAGGCTTCCTCCTTGCGAGACTATGTGCAGTGTGTAAATCTCTAGTACATCCTGCAGTACCTAGGCAAATGCCTCAAGCCACTGTAAAGGTCAATACAAACCTTCTGGAGAAATCCACCTTGCGTTCTTAGGTAGACCCTGAAAGTTTAATAAATCATTTGTTCAAAATTTGACATTTATGTTCAGGACCCTGGAGGCATGGTGAGGTCAATACTTCAGGTTGACTTCCTGTTGCTGCTTGGAGTTGTACTGATAGTAGCGTTAATTATGTGCTACATAAGGAAACACAAATGAATTTGTTTCTAGATTTTGTTGGTCAGACTAAGAGTGGCCAATGGAGTGGGATATTTATGGGATAATTCACCACATACCAAGACAGTGTAGATACAAGAATCAGATATTAAATATTATTGAACAAAAATTCTTCATGGTCTGTTGCATTTCTGTACAACTTGTAAGTAGAGGCACTTGCTGCCTTTGTTCCAGACTATCTCTTAAAGGATGTTTTTGTAACAAACAGCCTTGGAACATACAGATAGTATTTCCCTTCAAAACAAAGGATGGGTTTGTTTACTATCCCATAGATTTAATAATAAAGATAATATCTCCCTGAGAGCTCAGATAAGGCAGGTTACTACACATTATAAAAGATTTGGGTCCCTTACCTTGTGGTCTTTCTCTTTAATACATCTTACTGAGGCTTGGGGAACTGGTACAAATGCTGACACTGGCCACTGCTCTTGCTGTGAGTATAATGCTTTGCTTTGTGTCTGACCAGGAAGAGTGACATACATTCTTTCATCTTCCACGTAATTGTGGGAGCCTAACTTGTTAGCTTGTAGTATGATAAAAACTCAAACCTTCACGGTTGTTGACACCCACTATAACCCACTATTAATATTTCTTTTTGTTATTTCAAAATATTAGGGGGGGTGAATGTTTTTGTTACATGGATACCTTTTATAATCTTAATTCAGGGCTATTAGTGTGCCCAACATGCAATTAGTGTTCATTGTACCTGATAGGTAGGTTTTTACTCCTCCCCTCTTCTCCTGGTTCTTGATTTCCAACGACCCTGCATCTCTCTATGCCCATGTGTGCCCATCGTTGAGCCATCCCAATTACTAATGAGAACATGTGGTGTGTGGTTTTCCATTCATGAGACACTTCACTCAGGATTATGGTCTCCAGTTCCATCTGTGTTGCTGCAAATGACATTATTTTGTTTGTTTTTATGGCTGAGTAGTTGAGTAGTATTCCGGAGTGTGTGTGTTTGAGACAGAGTGAGTGTGTGCGTGTGTGTGTGTGTGTGTAGGTATACACACAACACTACTATTTCTTATAAAGAAAAAGAGGAGGTCACATTTACTGTAATAGGATATATCAGTAGTCAAGAGCAATTTGAAAGAGCAAATGTTATAAATAAGGCATTATATTAATATAGAGTGGAGTCTAAATTTCAGTCGAGGGCAAATAAAATTTCCTAGGGATGACCTGTAACCTGCATTCTATTCTTACAACTTAAGTAGCTCTCATTTATGCTAATATTGGGCTTTGAATTGTTAAATAAATTAAACAATTTCCAAATCCTGTGTTACAGGACGTTTGTGTTACATTGAATATTTTGATCACTCCATTCTACCTGAAAGTTTCCCTTTGCTTCTGCAATATTTAATCTTCTGATTCTACTCTTACTTTTCTGATTATCCCTTTTCACAAGGGTCTTTTCTTATCTGCTAAAAAGTTGTTATTTCTCCAGTATTTGCCCAACGTGAAAATTTATCCATTCTTTTTAGATTTAACTCATCAAGCATATGCTTTTTACTCATAAACGGGTATATATCTGGCTTATACCATTCTCCTGAATTCCGACTGCATGCTGAATAACTGTTCCAGAAAACTTGAACATAATTTGTTCAAAACGGAATTTGCAATCTTTGTATTTTCAATGTAATTTGTTATTATTTTTGTCGGTTTCATTAATTGGCAACATGATCCAATCAGACACCTGAAAGTTGTCTTGGACTTGCTCATTCTCTTTTACTTCTCATATCTTATCTACTCTCTAGTTGTTCTAAGCTTTCTCACATTGTCCCTGTCCTCTCCATTCTTATTGTTATTGTTCTTTTTTTTTTTAATTTCAAGATATTAAGGAGGTACAAATGCTTTAGGTTACATGGATTGCTTTTGTAATGCTTGAGTTCTGGCTACAGGTATGCCCATCTCCCAGGTAGTGTTCATTATACCCATTAGGTATGTTTTCGCCCATGCCCTCCTCCCCTCACCCCTCTGCTTGATTTCCACTTAGTTTTACATCCCTCTGTGCACATGGCAACAACAAGAATTAATAAATGGGATTTAATTAAAGTAAAAAACCTTCAGCACAGCTAAGAAAACAATCAACAGAGCAAGTAGACAACCTACAGAATGGGAGAAAATATTCACAAGCTACACATCTGATAAAAGGCTAATATCCAGAATGTATAAGAACTCAAGCAAATAAGCAAGAAAAAAACAAACAACCTTATTAAAAAGTGGGAAAAAGACACAAACAGAGACTTCTCAAAAGAAGAAAGACAAATGGCCAATAAAACCATGAAAAATGCTCAATGTTTCTATTGTTCTTGATGTGGCTCTCATCTGTTTGTCCTTTATGATTTTCCCTGATACTCAACATTGACTTCTCTGTTGCTGCCAGAATTTACCTCCCTGAGGTTGCCCACAGGATAAAATAAAAGCAATCCTGACTTCAAGAACCTCTGTGAACTGATCCCTGCCTTCTCCTCAGTTTTGTTTTCTGCCACTTCCTAAGCACTGGACTCTATGGCAAGAAATAGTAAGCGACGCTTCCTGCCCCTGCAGACGCCGGGAGCCCCCAACGGCAGGGCCTGCTCGGCTCCGGCGACCCCGGGAGTGCTCCCTGCCCGGTATGACTTTTCTGCTCTTTGAAAAACACAAAACCTCCTTTAATAATCAGGGCTATCTCTACTTTTTTAGAAAACTTCTTTAGTCCTAATATTAGTAATTCACAGAGACTATCATTTGGTATTAAATTACTTCTTTTTGGTTATCTCATGGTATATTGTGAATTCCTCTTATTACAACTGCACAACGATATTTGATCACCTGTTAGCCATTTCTGCCCTCCTACGTTGGTGAATTCCTTAAGGTCAGGTGAAGTCAGGAAGCATGCCTTATTCATCTTTCTTTTTTTTTCATTTTTGATTCACACAATGACTGGTGTAAGCTCAGTAATTTGAAAAATAGTTAATAGAATGCACAAATAAAAGTGATACCATGTCTATGTCTACATTTACCTATAATAGGTGGATGGATATACATATAAAATCTGCTCATCTATAACTGAAAATTAACTAGACCATTTGCCTGCTCGGAAGCAGTGTTTAAGTGATCCCTCAGCTGTCTCTGGATTGCCCTTTGGCAGAGGCAGCAGAATTAAGTGTCTATATTTAGAAAACTGGTTCAAGAGCCCGTATGAAGCTACTTCAAATTCATTTCCAAGTCATTTATTTTAATAGCCAGAGCATTTCTTAAAGCCAATCCTGCCTTATTCCTTTACTTCTAATCAAAT